ACTGAAACAGGCTCCAGGCTCTGAGCTGGCAGTCAGCACAGAGCCCGACGCGGGGCTCGAACCCACGAACCGTGAGGTCATGACCTAAGTGAAAGTCGGATGCTTAGCCGACTAAGCCACCCAGGCGCCCCGAGAAGGGATTTTTTTAAAGGAGTGTATAGACTCTCCTCTGCTCCTGGATGAAGATGAGAAGCATGGTAGGGGTCTGTTTCATTGACTTTGAACATCCTGCCTGTCTTGGTATAAGGGGGCTTGAGTTTGTCCTCACTGAATTTGGGAAAACAAAGAAAACCACAGATGTCCTGAGTGTTTCAGGTTTTTAATCCACACCTATCATAGTAAAAGGTAATAGGGCCTTGGTTTAGGGGGGGAAAAAAAGGTCTCGTTACCAAAGCCTCATGATAAGAAATGATCAGAATCTGATTTACAATTTATCGTCATTTTAGAACAAAAATCTCTAATTAGGGATACTAAATACCTTTTGTCCTAGAAGGAAATATGTCTAATGTGAATCCCTTCACATGCATCTGTACACTCCCAGGCCAAGCCCTGAAGGTTCAGGAGCAGCCGTCTCAGAGCTGGTGGTTCAGTGTGAGCAGAGTACTGACCCCAGCACCTCACCCCTTTTCTCCAATTCCTTCCACAAACAACGGGCCAGTCCACGGATTTCAGTTGAGCACATTTCCCAGCGCTGCTTGCGGGCAACCTCCCAAGTCCGTTTATAAAGGTCACCAAAGTTTGTTTTAAATAGCTAGCGTTGACTGTGAATCTGATTCAGTGCTTTTCTCAGTGGAGCTGCCAAGCCACGCCTCTCCAAGACCTGTCTTCCAAGCCACGCCCCCTGGGCTCCGCCTCCTATGCTCCGCGTCAGGGTACCACTCTCTCAAGCCACGCCTCCCAGGTCCTGTCTCTCAACCTCCTGCCTCCCTGGGCCACGCCTTCCAAGCCCCGCCTCCCTAGGCCACGCCTCCCGGAGGCCTAACCTCAAAGCATCATTTAGTTGGAGCAACTGATAGAAGTTGCTGCTGTTTTCTGCTCTGTGGTCCCGTATGAATCATCATGCCACTATCGCTAATGCAGATGGGCCCGTAATAACCATCGTCTAGTTGGAAGATTTGCTTCTCATGGAGGGACACATCATCGATGTCCCAGAGTTCTTTTACCTTGTAAAGCAAGCAGGAGAGGGTAAGTAGGCTTGGGATCTTCACTGTGACCAAAACAGTTTGTTTCAAGTAGAAGACGTCATTTTTTCAGTAAGTTGTGGTGACTGAGGTGCATGCAACTGTCAGAGTTCATCAACTGTGCGCCTACAAGCTACATCTTTGATTGAAAGTAAGTTATATCTAAATTTAAAAGGAAACTAATAAATACCAGGATAGGAGGCCAGAGAAGACAACCAGGGGCTCCTGAGAGTTGTTAGTCCTCATGGGAGAAGAAGTGTAAACAGGAAGGAATGAAGAATGCATCATCTCAGCGTGGTAACGAGAAGACATCAAGCAAACCCCAAATGAGTTCTATTCGGAAGAAGGGAGGCAGCTTACTCTTAAAAAATGCCTGTACTTTAAAAAAAAAAAAAAAAAAAGAAAAGCTGTAGAAATGATTCAGGTTAAGGAAGCTAGATGTGCCTGGCTGGCTCAGTAGGTGGGATGTGTCACTCTCGAGCTTGGGGTCTTGAGTTCAAGCCCTACACACATTGGGTGTAGGGTTTACTAAAAACAAAATAAATAAAGGAAGTGTAAGAGTCCTGACAACGGAATGCAGTACCTGGTTAGAAAAGACCCTGCCCTGGGGAGGGGAGGAATGCCATACAGTATGAGATCCAGTGATAATTTGAGTATAGACAGTACATTAGGTAAAGTTGCTGTCAATATAGATTATGACACAGATAACTGTACTGTGGCAGGTAAGATAATATCCCTATTCTTAGAAAACACGTACTGAAGCATTGGGGAGTAAAAGACGATTTTGTATCTAACCCTGAAATGGTTCCAAGAATAAGATTATATATGTGTGTATGAAAAAGTATGCACATGTGTACAAAAGAATTTCCTCATTGCTTCCCTTGGGGAAAAGCGTGAAAAAAGTACAAGTGTGGGTCATGCTGGTTCAAAGTTTGTCAAGTTTTCCCAACATTGGCACCTCTAAACAAGAAAGATTTTTATCAGATGCTCTCCTATCAGTAACTTCTGAAAGCCACATCATACCTGTAGCTGGTTCATGAAACCCTTGATTCCGGCCAGGTCAGGTAACTGTTAACCTGAAGAGGAAAACAGCCCAGGAAAAGTTTATGCATTAGAACAGGGGCATCTGTTCAGTGAGAAGGGAGGGGAGGGAGGAAGGGAGAGAGAGAGAGAGAGAGAGAAAGAGAGAGAGAGAGAGAGTTAGAGAAGGGAGGGGAGGGGAGGATGCGGGAGACAGACAGCAAGAGCACACAAACCTTAAGTTTTACAAATGCAGGAAAATGTTAACAATAGGTGAATCTGGGTAAAGGATATAGAAGGTGTTCTTCATACAATTTTTCTTTTTTGCACTTTTTTGCGAAATTATTTCCAGATAAGCGTGTGTGTGTGTGTGTGTGTGTGTGTGTGTGTGTGTGTGCTTTAACACTGGGGATGAGGGAGCTGGAAGGAATTCCAAGGCCTTTGCAGCATCAGCTGGTGTCCGGAAGGCACTGGCTGAGGGTTCAGATTCATGGCAGTATTCCACGTGGTGGTAGTCACAATGACCATTATATGTCTTTAATAGTCATAAAAGAATAGCTCTCAAGCAATAAAAGCTAGGTTGCTTATGTTACAAATCTAGGAGAATATTAGAGGATTTCCTTCTGGCTTATTGCTGGGAGGAAAAGGAAAAATGTACAGCTTTTTGTTGACGAGGCATGTTGGAGGTTGGGCGAGTGTTTTCTTTTCAACAGCTATACCTCTAAACAAGCAGAACGTTATCAGGACACACTCCTTCAATCAGTAACTTCGGAAAGCCACATCATGCCTTCAGTTGGTTCATAAAAACCTTGACCCCTGGGTCAGGCCACTGTTATTTGGACATAAGCATGACCCAGGTAAAGTGTATATGTTGGGACATTTACATCTGTTCCCTTTCATGCCAGAATTTCCCAGGATGATCCTAGCAGTATTATAGTGGATCTGGGAAAGAAAGGGGTGTCCAGGGACCTTTCAGTGGGCTTCCAAAGACCATAGTGCCTGACCTTGCACTGAGCTCAGTGGACCCTTTGCCACTAAAAGTGGCTACCACCCCTTCTCACTCCCTGGGGGATCTGTGAAAGTGGATGGGACTCCGCCCCTGCCCACACTGTAGCTGGCTGAGTGCACATGACAACGATTATTATTCTATTCCCCCAAACACCAAAAGAAAATGTAGGATTCATTTGTTCAAGCATACTTCCCAGGCAGATAGAAGGTGCCCCCTCTACCCCACCTCCTTCTGGGAGAAGTAAAAGACAGCTTGCACCTGACTCTCAAATCTCCCGTTTGGACTCTGGAATGATGAAGATGAATTTTTTTCTCCCAACTTTTCATCTGATAAAGATGGGACTGTTTGGAGAACTTGGAAATTCAATGGTATAAAGAAAGTTATTGCCTCTTTGTCAGCATGTGTAAAACCAAGTCGAGGTGCCACACGCAGGGAATGAAACCCAGGTGGCACAAGCAGGCTTCATTCTCTTTCCTTCCTGGTCATGCCATGCTAGTTCTTCAAGGAGGGAGTGTTGAGAATAAGAGTCTGCTTTATCTGCACTGGGAGTCCTCTCTGGTCGTGCGGCCAAGCTGAGCCGAAGGGTCCATGGCAGGGGAGATGAGCATCAGAGATGGAGGCAGGGAGCCAGCTGGAAGGATTAAATGGAAGAGACAGAGTCACTGCTTGCTGGTTACATACCCCCCCCCCCCCCGCCAGAAGAAGCTATGGACACCATAACCCATGATGTGCAAGTAGAGACCCCAGAGGAAGACAAGGAGATAGCGGCCCTATGCCCCTGGACTTTGAGGGGCCAATGGCGTCAGGGCTCCCTCCAGCTGTGTCAGGGCACAGCCTAGCCAGGGCTGCAGTGACGGCCTGTTTGGCCCTCCAGCCTATATCCTGCCCCCAACTCACTCATGCCAGGCACCTTAGTCTCAGTAATAATCCGTCCATAACTTGTTCTACTCCTACAGTGTTTACCTGAGCGCTTTATAGGTGTTATCTTATTTATATTTACCTGTTATCTTTTTTCCTTTAAAATGTTTTTCAGCTTTATTAAGATGTACATAACATTGATATAAATGACATTGTGTAACTTTAATATACATGTGTATTGTTGAATGGTTACCAAGGTAAGGTTAACTAACATATTCATCGTGTCATGTAGTTACCATTTGTGTTTGTGTGTGTGTAATGAGAACTCTTAAGTTCCACTCTCTTAGCAACTTTGTACACAATAAATATTGGCCTGTTCTCTTTAAAGATAAGGAACCAGAGGCTGAAAAAAGGTAGCTTACCAAGTTTGAAAAGTTTTTAAATAGTGGGTTCAGGTTTGGAACCAGTATAGTCTGGCTCTAAAGCTCATATGCTTTTTCACCATACTATGCACAAGTACACACACACAGACACACATACACACACACGCACACACATAGTACATGGGATTTTGCAACCTCTGCTTTAAGAAGGAACTTGGTACAACTCGTCATATTTGATCCTAGACCATCTACAGTCACTGCTGCTTGCAAAGGCTTAGCGATGGTTGACCAGAAACGTCTGGGCATCCTATGCCAATGGTGCTCTATCACCTGGCAGGCATGGTCTCCAATCTGGCTACACATGTTGGCAGGGGCTTTCTGTTGGGACTTCAAAATCTTGGTTTGAGCTGCCAACGTCAGAAGTTTTGGTAAAAACCAACGGGCCACATGAGTGGAAACTGTCAGTGGGCTGGGCTGGGTCTGGTGCTGGAGAATGGTCAGTCTCTTGACCCCAGGGCATTTGCCATCTTCTCCTCCCTGTCTTTGCAGCCCACCTTGGTTTGGGACCCAGGGCAGTGGCTCTTGGGAAGCCGCCAGTCTATCAGGGGCCTGTGGATTGCATTGCAACCATCGTGCGGACCGAGGGCCTGACAGGGATGTACCGGGGCTTGGGCGCCATGCTGCTGAGGGACATCCCGGGCTACTGCCTCTACTTCATCCCCTATGTCTTCCTGAATGACTGGATCACGCCCGAGGCCTGCACAGGACCCAGCCCCTGTGCCGTGTGGCTGGCAGGCGGCGTGGCAGGTAAGGGCAGCCGTACGGACCCCTGGGCTTGTGCTGATCCCCTGTGGTGGGAAGGCTCAGGAGCCCATCATGCCCTTCTCTGCCCCAGGGAAGAACACAGTTCATCTAGCTACTCATCTAACAAGTGTTTGTTAGGCACCTACTGTATGCCAGACCTAGCCAAACAAAGGAAAGGCTGGGAATAGAGAATGGTCTCCTTCTTTTTTTGCATCTCCTTCCCTCTGGACCTGTGGGAACGGCAAGTCCCTATTTGGGATCATTGAACCTTGGGTCAAAGGATATATTCTCACCATTCCCATTTTGGGTCACGTACCCTTGAGCTTTGAAAAGGAAATCTGTTACCACGGTTCACCTTTTTTGAATGTCGTCACATGGCAAACCTTTCTAACATGAGAGTTTCTTTAGCTCTGTAAGGGAGGCATCAGTCTCCCCATTTGTCAGATGAGAAAACCGAGGTCCAGAGAGATTAAGTGACCAACCCAAGGGCACACAGCTAGTGCATGCATACAGGATAGCAGGGGCTAGTCAACAGGATCCCATTCAGATCTTTACGTACTCAGTCTGTGACCTGGGATTGGTTTCTTGACCTCGCTTCTCAGAACTCACAGCATTCCTATTTCATTTCGGGTAAAAATCAGTGTTCCCGCAGTGGGGTCAGTCCCTGCAGGGCCAGCCATCTCCTGCCCGTCTGCACTCAGCTCCCGCTCTTGCCCCTGCACTTGCTCTGCTCCTGCCACCCTGGTTTCCTGGCTGCAGGATGACCGTGCCTGACCCCTCCCCACCATGAGCCCTTTGCACCTGCTGTTCCTGCTGCCTGGATTTTGCAATAGTGGGTCATCAGGGACTGTGACAAGACCCTGTGGTGAAGGGTGTGAACGCCCAATTGAAGAGAGATCGGGAGAGAAGGGGAAGAAAGAAACTGGATGGTCCAAGTACACACGACACTTGTGAGGGGCTTGGTGGTGCTGTAGGGGGGTGGGGATGAGAGGTAGGCAGCTAGAGCCGGAGCAGGGCGTGGAAGCCAACAGAGGGCTGCTCCTCAAGAAGGCTGATAATATGGCATGTGGGATGCTGATGGGAAGGTCTACTAGAAAGAAGAAAATTGTCATTGCTCCTCTGCTTCCTGATTTCCCTCCTCCTCCTCCTCCTCCTCCTCAGCTGTGCTCAAAACCCAGCAAACACATAACAAAGCCTGCGCCTGAGCCACCAAACACCAGTGTCCACCCATCTGCCCCCACGTGTCCGAGGCCTGGCCTGAGCCAGTTCCTAGCAAGGGCTTAGTAAGCGCTTGCTGACTGAGGACAAACAAGGCCCCATCGACTCTTATTTCTGGTGAGAGCAGGTATGAGGGGCCTGGTGGGCAGACCTCACTTTCTCATACCCTCACCCACGGGCTAAGGAACCAGGGAAGACGCCAGGGCAGTGCCTGGCCAGACGTCAGCAGAATCAGCTTCGTCATTCTGGCAGGAGTCAAGAGGAAGGGGAGGCCCAGAGGGTTCCCAGAGGGTTCCCAGAGGGTTCCCAGAGGGTCATGGGCATGGGGCCACGGGGTTGGAGGCTGGGATGGGCAGAGGGCCCAGGGCAGACTAGGGCCGCTTTGGGGAGCTTCTGGGCAGCAAATGCAAAACGTTGCAAACAGCTGCCTTGGACTTTGGCATCAGTTTGTTTTTCTCTTCCTGTCTCAGAATGTGCCAATTTCTGTGTTTATACAATAACCTGGCATTATTTTCCTAGAACCCCTTAAAGTCACACAAGTGCTCAAACTAGGGCACCTGAGCTTCTCTGGCAAGGATGACCCAGGGTTGTGTGATCCCAAGGCTTCTGTTTCAACCCTTGGAAAAGTTACAGGATTTGCAAAGACCAGCCCCTGCTCTTTTCCATGTTTGGCCCGCACCCTCCCTGGCAAGCAGCCTATCTGCGAGAGTGTGTTTAGCTGTATTCAGAGTCACTTCTGAACCCGGGGAGCTGCAGGCCTTCTGCCTCAGGCTTCACTCTGGGCTCTCGCCCTTGGTGTCTTGGAAAGGCGCTGCGGAGCGTTGGTGGGGACCTGTTCCTTTTTCTCCTATATAAGCTGCTACTAAAGGCATCCACTTGGGAAGCTCTGGCTGTGGGCCTGGCAGTGTGCCCAGCCTTTCATGTGCATCCATTTATTTGTCCTCACAGTAATCCCATGAAGATGGGTACTGGTGCCCCATTTTACAGATGGTGGATGCAAGGCCTGGAGGAAGAGACTTCTGTAAAGTCCCACAGCAAGTGATGAGGGGGGTTCAGGGACACCTTTACAGGTCCCGACTGAGCTCTTTCCTCCTCCCCCAGCGGCATGGGAAGCCTGTTAGTGGTGGGAATGGGCAGGGAGCCATGTCCTCTCCGGATCCTGACCAGCCAGTCCCTGACACTTGTTTGTCGTTCTCTTTACAGGAGCAATTTCTTGGGGGACAGCAACTCCTATGGATGTTGTGAAAAGTCGACTCCAAGCTGATGGGGTTTATTTAAACAAATACAAAGGTGTCCTGGATTGTATCTGCCAGAGTTACCAGAAGGAAGGACTTAAAGTAAGCCCCACAGCAGTCATGTGGTGTCAGTGTCAGTCCCTGGAGGTGCGCCAGACATTTTAGGGGGAGATGAGTTTACAGAGAGGAGAATCAGGAAACTAGGGTGCTCGTGGTTACTGTATCAAGCACTGCTTGAGATCCTCGTCTCATCTAGTCCTTGTCCCAGGCTGGTGGAGGAGACAGAGGTTCAGAGAGGACTAGTAACCGACCTGAGGTCGCACAGCCAGTGCACGGCAGAGCCAGGAGCTGGACCCACATCTGTGTGTCACCAAAGCTTCCCTCTCATCAGGGTAGGCTGAGAGCTGCTTCCTCACTCAGTGCTTGGTGCCTCCCCGCTCCTCCAGGCTGCAGCCCCAGAGCTACCTAAGTCTTCATGGCTCACAGTGTCTGGTCCCTTGTCTGTCTTCTGCTCTCTCATCCCACTTGAGTCCATCCACTATCACCTCTGCTGATGGCAGCCTCCATGGAGGCCATGATGGAGACATAGCCTTGCCTCCCTTCTCTTCTCTCTTCCCTGCACCCAAAGGGCTCATTTAAACCCATGTCCCTTCCAGTCAGCAGACTCAAGTTTAAAGCCATCCTGGCTGCTTATGAGCTGGGGGGGAGGGGGGAGGACATCCAGACAAATTGCTTTACTGCTCTGCCTCCATTTCTCCAAGGATAATCATCCCTACCATGAGCAAGAGGGATATTTGTCAGGGAAATATAAAAAGTGCCTAGCTTCTTGCAAAACACAGAGAGTATATTTAAAAAGAGCTCCTGGTCATTGGCTTTAGTATTAGTAGTTAATGTCACTACTGAGCATTGGGTCTTTACTTCCATGACTGTCACATCCCCAAATATACTCATCCATATATGTATATATGTATGTATATATATGTATGTGTATAGATAGGTAGGTAGGTAGCATTTTTTGCTTCAATGGAGTACTGGAACTTCTCTGTAAACCTGGACTTCCACAAAGGCTCTCTTGTCACTAGGTGACTGGCCAAGCAGTGTTCTCCAGGTGCTCCAGACAGCTACTGAGAGGGTCTGGAGCCAGGTCACACATAGGCTGCTGCAGGTCCCACTGCCTGTACTGGGGTCTGTCTGCCTAGTCCCTGATACACAGATGGATGGGACTCTGGGGTCCCTTGACATGTGGTGCTGGATCCCACGACCCCCTCGGAGGCACCCGTGTCTGTGGATGGATGCCCCATTTTTGTTGCTGAGCTGGGGTCAACATGGGGATGCCTTGTACTGTCCCCCGCGTGATCCTGATGTCACTCTATGTATTTGCCTTTAGGGAGATCTTTACTCTCTAGTGCCATTTCATCTCACCCTCCAGGACTCCTTTGAACATTTCTTGCAGAGTAGGTCTCGTGGTAATGAACTCCCTTAGCTTTTGTTGATCTGGGAATATCTTAATTTCCCCCTCAATCTTGAAGGATAGTTTTGCTGGAAATAGGATTCTCTATTGACCATTTTTTCTTCTTTTAACACTCTGGATGTGTTGGCCCATCGCCTTTTTGTCTTTCAAGTTTCTGATAAGTAATCTGCTGAGAAACTTACTTAGGATGGTGTGTGTGTAATTAATTCCTTCTATCTTCCTGCTTTCAAAAGTTTGATTATAATGTGTCTTGGTGTGGGTCTCCTTGTTTATTTTGCTTGCTGTTTGTTTGATGTTTATATTCATGTCTTTCATCAAATTTAGGAAGTTTTTAGGAAGTAACTTAGGAAGTTTTTGGTCTTTATTTTTCCAAATATTCTCTGTCCCTATCTACCTTTGCCTTCTGGGATGTCCACAATGCATATATTGCTTTGTTTGATAGTTTCCCACAGATCCCTTAGGCTCTTTTCACTGTTCATCAGTCTCTTTTCTATTTCTCAAACTTAGTAATTTCTGTTGTCATATTTTAAGTTTGCTGATTCTTTCTTCTGCCTGCTCAAATATACCTTTGAATCCTTGTTTGAATTTTTCATTCCAATTATTGTGTTTTCAGCTACAGGATTTTTATGTTTTTTTTCTGGGTTTTCTATTTCATATTGATGTTTCTGTTTTGTTCATATATCATTTTACTGACTTTTCCTGTAGTTCTTCAAGCACCTTGAAGACCATTGCTCTAAAGTCTTTCTCACATAAACCTGCTATCAGGTCTTTTTCCGGGACAGTTTCTCTTGATTTATTTTTTCTTTTTTTAAAGGGACCATACTTTTCTGTTTCCTTTTAGGCCTTGTTATTTTTTACTGAAAACCTGACATTTGAATCTAATAATGTGGTAACTCTCAAAATCAGATTTTCCCCTCCTTCCCTAAGATTTGATGTCCTTTGTTATTATTTTTGTTTATTGTTTCATTTTTGTGATTGTTGTAAGCTGTCTCTATTGCCAAAGATCAGCCTGAAATGTAAACTTGAGGTCTCCTCGGGTCTTTCCTGAGCCTTTCTCTGGGTATGCACGGTTACTTTCAGATTTTCCCATACATGCAGTTGCTTTAGACTGTTGTAGTCTTTAATGTCTAGCTCCCAAAGAGGAAAAAGAAAAATGAAGGGGCAGAGGGGCATCACCAGAAGAGGAAGGGTTTGCATCCATGAAACAGCAATGGCCACCTTTCTGTTTACACATCTGTGATCGGAAACAGCACATATTTGGAGAACAGAGTCCTTATCGCCTACTCTGGCTTCCACAAACTATGTGTAGGTTGGTCCCACAGCATGCCTGCCACAGGTCTGGGGTTGGGGTATAGGTAGCTGCAATCTTGCTAAGAGCTAAAATTGACTGAAATTAACCAGATTTACTGTGCACACCTTCTCCCGGAAGCTGTAAGCATTCACTACACTGTGGAATTAAAAAAAAAGTTACATCAGACAGATTCCATCAGTGCACCTTTTATCTAGGTAGGGAAACAGATGCTGGCATTTCCTATTCTACCACCTTCCTGGAATCCTCACCTCATTTGTCTTTTGTATTATTTTAGTAGATGCACAGTTTGTGATTCAGCCAAGTAGAGAGGGACATGGAGATTCACACAGAATGCTGTTTTATTTGAGATATTTTTGTCTGCTATTAATTATTAATGTTTCAAAACATTCAAATGTGTCAAAATATTAATGATATAATTCTACAAAGTCTATAGAGGCTAACTATATTGCTGATGTTATTTCCTCCCAAAATTAGTGTGCTCTGTCAAAAAAAAAAAAGTCCAGGAAGGCATCTGAGGTCAGATTATAGATTTCTTAATCTCAGTAACATTTGGTTCCATTTATATGCAGAGACAAGTTTTAGGTACAGGTAGCAGTATTTAGCCTGATGAACCGTTCATTGACTGAAATTAATTTTTAGATTTTTATCGGTTGGTTTTAAAAATAAATAATATATGAACATAGGAAGCTTCAAAAGGTAAAAGAGGATAGACTGTCTAAATGTCCCCCCTTGGTCTTCAGTCTTCTCTCAATGATAATCACTGTTATGAGTTCCTTATAATATATTCCAAAAATAGTCACAGCCAGTGTAAGCATATACGTGGGTAGGTCTATTTATGTATGTTTATATTATGCGTTTGCATATAAACAGAAATTGTAACATGAAGAATACATCCCACACAGCCCTGGACAGTTGGGTTGTCTCACAGTCAGACTCCTGGCAGCAAGAGGAATGACTTCCTGGGGCCCAAGGGATGGCTCCAGTGACAGTTGGCTGTAGCACTGATTCTGTGGAGCACCTACTCCCAAATAGTTTTTGCTGTCACTCACTGAGGCAGGGTAAGCCAGCCTCTGTTCCCATGTTACTATGGAAGAAGAACTCAGTGAAATTAAAGAGTTAGAAAGGAGTAAAAGAATGATGATGGTACCCATATTTGGTACTTCTTCATAACTCACTTAATGACTACCAGTAAAGCAGCCTTTTTGATAGAGGGAATTAGAAATCTAGGACTTTGGGGGCATTCCCAAATCAAAAAAGAAGGCTCTGGAACTTTTGGGTCTATTCTCTGCCTGCTGTGATGATTCTCATGGGCCATGTGGGCCATTGCTCACACTTGGAGAGCTACCATCTGAAATAAGGAAGCCAGAGGAGTGACTTGGTATCTTTCAGTGCACAGAGGGGGCTGTTGTGAGGGGGTCTGTGATAGTGGATTGAGATTGGACAACTAACTCTAAGGAGAGGTGGAGAGGGATATTTGTAGGAAGAGAAGTTTCCTGAGGCACCAGAGTTGGTTGCCCTTTGGTACCACCATCCGGGGACTGGAACCCTTCCTCCATTCTAGGAATTCTTCTCTACCACTACCACCACCAGGCCTCTTTCAGCTTGGAACTGTTTGCTTTTCACAACAAGGAATTTGTTCATTCATTCATGTGTCCATCCATCCATTCATCCATCCACTGATTCATGAGTAAGATTCATAACAGAGTCTCTGGCCCAAGAAAAGCATTTGATATGGGGGGTTCCAAGGTATAGATCCTGGGGTGTCCATGATGTATGTTGGGGTTCCATGGTGTGGATGCTGAGGGTTCTGAGGTATAGATGCTGGAGGTTCTGAGGTATAGATGATAAGTTCCAAAGTAAACCACAGATAGCCCAGCTCTCGCTGCCCTGACTGGGATTATTAATGGGGGTACAGACAAATTGTGGGTGGTTAGTGTGAGAAGTGCTGTGATGGCAGAGATGCTGAGTGCATAGAAGACAATAGGCCACAGTCCAGCTTTGGGTGCCCCTGGGACGGCTGCTAGAGATGCAGCCAGGGTTGAGGAACGTTCCAGCAGAGGGAGAAGATACTCAGTGGTGGGAAAGAGCTGGCTCCTTAGAGGAATGATAGGCTGTTAAGCTCCCCAGAATGCCAGGTATAAGAGGCGGCTCAGAAAAAGTGCAGGGCCAGAGCAAAAGGGTCTTGGCATGCCAGAAAGTGGCGTAGACTTGACCCTGGGCAGTGTGGAGTTATTGAGGCTTCATGAGGAAAGACTCATTCTGGTGGTTTTGTATTCTGAAAGCTTGGGATAAAAGCCAGCAGGCCCATGCTTTGCCATCTTTGGCCTTACAGCAGAGCAGGCCATGGCTGCTGGAGGGAGGTCCCGTCTGTATGTCTGAAGAGTCCCATGGTTTCCTCAGGGCCTAGCACTGTGGGGGAGGAGATCCCCACATTTCAAGCTGGGCCCTGCCTGGCTCAGCCTCACAGAGCAGAGTCAAGCCCAGGCCCACAGGGGAGTGTTTGTGGCACCCAGCATGGAATTTTCCTCCTGGAGCTTGAGCCAGTTCCTTGCTGTTATTCAGTCACTCTGGGTGAGCTTGGGGAATTCCAGAAAGGTTAGACATCAGACAGCAGCACTGATGTTACAAGGTTCTGCTTGCTCCTTGCCTGCATCACTCCAGGGTTCGGCTGAGCTGCTTGCTCACCTCTGGGGATGCTTGTCCATCAGCTCCCTTCTCTGTGAAGGTCAAGGCTTCCCCCAAGTTCATAGAAGCCATTCTCTCCCCTCCACAACCAAGCTTCATCTTGCAGGCTGCCATGGAATGCCAAGGTGCAGGTGCCTCTCCTGCAGAAAGACATCCTGACATCATGTCCAATGGCAGTGGCCTGTACCTACCCTGACCCCACAGTGCCTGAAATATAAAAGGGCTGGATTTCTACTTTCATAAAATTACAGTACCAGTTCTATTTATTATAGTTAATAAACGTACAGGAGTCCGATAACAGGTTTATATCATAGGCTTGACAGTTCTTGGGTCATTTATGCTTGAGTAGGGTTTTCTTTAGATGTGTTGTCTAGGGAAGATGTTGAAGGACCACTCCTGCCCACCCCACACCTCGCCAGAGCCCTTATCTGTTCTCATCACATTCTAGATTGTATTGTAATTATTCCCAAATGGGGCCTATCTCCCCCCCGACCCCTGGATGTTTTAAACTGGGCAAGGGCTAGAACCACATCACACTGATAAGCTTCTACCCAGCACTCAGCAGGAAGATTCAGGGAGCAAGTAAAGTGTCTTATCATATTCCCTAGGGATAGAATACAAATACGGTGTTCTTGTATTAAAGGCTGAGTTAAGCAGCTCATCAGTATAGGCCAGTACTCCTCCCTACTCGTACTAATGATCTAAGATTGAGTGCCACCCTGTATAAAGATGGCTACTGATGATGATGATGATGGTGATGATGATGATGGAGAGAGTCAACAGTTAATGAGTGCTCACTCCATGGCTGGTACTGTATAGGTGCTTTAAAAGCATCATCTCATTTATTCCCCCAACGGCCATATCAGGTCAATAGTATTATTACCCCCATTTTATAGCTGGGAAGTTGAGTTTCAGAGGCTTTGCCACTTGCCCAAGCAACAAAGCTATTAAATGGCAAAGCCATGTCTTGACTTCATGCCTACAGTCTGATAAGTATGGCCTGAGTTCTTCCCCACTCTTTCCACTTGGGGGACATCCTGTCAAAATGGTCGGTCATGACTGGGTGCCCTGTCTACCATTGTAGAGTGAGTGGAGTGGAGATCTCAGATTTCCAGGTTCCAGAGAATTGTGTGTGTGTGGGGGGGGGGGGCGGTGGGGAGAGGAGGTTTACATCCATGAGACATAGCAGCAATTAAACAAGTGTATATGGGTGTTCATGGTCAAGTTTGTCCATACTATTTAGTTGTATGTGTGGCAGGCTTGGGGGGAGAAGCCCCATCAGAGGTGATGTGGGTTGAGACAGGGGCATGACTAGGCCTCCAGAGTGGTTTCAGCTTGCAAGGGCCCTTTGGGCTCTGTGGGGTCCAGCCAGGACAAGCGGGCAGCATCCGCAGCCCTTTCTCTGCACCTCAGTGGTGGCCCCAGGTAGTTCTGGACCCTCTATGATAACCCTCTGTGCCAAAGGTGTTTTTCAGAGGCATCACGGTGAACGCTGTGCGTGGCTTCCCCATGAGTGCCGCCATGTTCCTTGGGTATGAGCTCTCGCTGCAGGCGCTTCGCGGGGACCACGCCGTGACCAGCCCCTGAGCGCCAGGTCAGTGTGCCTCCCTCCCAGCCCATTGCACCTCCTTGGAGCTTCACACTCTCTTCTTTGCCATGAACACGTCGTGACTTTCTGAAACATCCCTGTCATTTGGTTCCTCTCTGATCCGTGCTAGTGCTGGGGCTGCCATGGCCAACCTTCTTGTCGTCAAAAAGCCTTTCTGAAATGCCCACCTGTGGCTGGTGGTGAGCTGGGTGCTTGGTTACTGAGATGGGCACAGAATTTCCCTGTTTATAGTCAGCTCCCCCATCTGTTTTCCTATCTAGCGGCTTCAGCAGCCCTTGAAGAGAAGTGTGTTTCACTTTACTACACACATTCAGTGGCCCACACCCAGAAGTGAGGACTTAAATCAGTGTCCACCCTCTGTCACAGGGCACCATCTCTTCGTCTCCCTACTGAAACTCACATTGTGAGTCTGAGAGCCACCACTGGGCTCCCAAAGCCCTGGAGGGCAGCCTCTGCCCTCGTTCCCCACCTCCCCCCTCTTTCTCTCTCCTGCTTTCATTGCAGAAAGATCCCTGCAGCCCAAGGAATCTAAAGAAAGAAACCTGAGTAAGTGACTCCCTTAGTCAAATCCCCATTGCCCTTTAGGTAAAGCATGAGTCCTTAACTCATCATCACCAGCATCCTAAAATAACTTGCCTCTGGGTCTTTGCACATGCTGTCCCTGTCTGACACCCTCTTGTCACACCCTCCCTCTTGTCCTTGGCTTTACCAACTCTTCTTTGTCATCCGGGCTTTGGTCTAGAAGTGTCTTCCTCCAGGAAGCCTGCCCTGATGCCTCAGCTAAGATGAGTTGTGCCTGCTGTAGGATCTCCCCCACAGCCCCTGCTCAGCCCCTACCACATCCCCTTGTATCATAACTGCTGATGACTTTCCTCACTCCTCAGCCAGCGCGAACGTCCCAGGAACGCTGCCTCTCTTTCTCCATCTCTGTATCGCTGGTGCCTCACACGGAGCCTGACACACAGATGGCCCCTCAGAAGCGTCATTGAGAAGACGGACAGTCAACTGCCAATATCACCTCAGCTCCTCCCCTTCTGCTTCTCCCTGTTTCTCCTTCTCTGGCTCCACACTGGTGTCTTGCACAGCTGAGAAGTCAAAGTGGGAGGGGTCACTGAATTTTCTAGCCAACATGAAACCATTTTGCTTCAGCCTTGGCGACTGCAAATTCTCTCAAGAAGGAGGGCATTTGCCAGAAAGATCTAGCAATCCTCCCTGCTGCCTTCCCTGGGCCATCGGAGGCCTGCTAGCGTGCGTGGATGGGGCCAGACCCTAGACCCAGGGGAAAGATGTGATGGATCAGGCGGACGAGATTGAGCCCAGGACAAGCTTTAGAATGCTGGCCTCAGTCAGATGCTGTAGTTTGTAACTAAAGCACCCACATTCACAGCTCTCCTGGCTTCAGGCTCTTTCTCTCTCACACACAAAAGGAAAAGGGTAGTAACACATTTTGCATAATTAAATGTCCTCAGTGAAGCACTACTGTCCTTGGGTTTTGTCCAGTGCAAGGAAGTGGAAAGCTCTGGTTCTTAAAGCTGTGCTCAGATATTAGCCACTCCCTGCTTTGAACAGGTGAAAATGGCTGTCCAAAAAGAAAAAAAAAAAAAAACTATCATAAAATCAGTGCTTCTTTATAGCAGGAAAAAAAAGGAAATCCTAGCAAACAGAACAAAAGAAAATACCTATTTGCTGCAATATTTTATTGCTCATTCTTACCATTTAATAGTTCAGGACTGTTTCTCCATGTCATTAAATATTCAGCAGCAAGGTGGTTTTTGTGCCAAGACCTGGCAGATCCCAGGGTGCCTGGACGCTTGCCCTAGCTGCCACGCCTGGTGACTTGTGACCACCCTGGTGGTTGGCCACTTCGGGAGGAAGGAAGAAGTTTCTAGCAAGCCAAATTCTGATTGTCCTGGATTTAGCCTTTCAGAGCAGCGGCCACCGTGTTTGGAAGCCCCCCCTTTCTGGAAGTACTCTCACGGCTTAAGAGGCACAGATGTGTATCGGTCTTGCCTCTGCTGGAGTGAGACATGGGCTGTGGCTCCTGGGTTGAAGAAGGGGGTTCCCAGCAACTTTTCTGGAGCTTCATCTTGAACAAGCCTTCAGTGTGTTTCAGCTTGCTGCTCTAACCTAAAAACACCAAGGTCCTGTATCAGGCCCTGGATTTGAATTTGCCAAGTAGCTCTGAGATCATAGGCAGGTCATCCTCTAGGCAGCAGTAGCATCTACTCTTTGAAGACTTGGACATCAGTGGCTGCCTTGTGGTCTATGAGGGGGCAGAATGACAGGTGGTGTATGTTGGAGGGCCGCAGAGTCATACGGTCCCTAAACGGTGGCACAAGAGTGCCTGTCTCGAGTCCCTGGGTACAGGTGGAGGGATGGCATGGAATGGTTTCCAGTGTCTACACTACATCGGAGCAACATCCAAGCCACGGCACATACAGCCTCCTTCCCACAAGCAGGGGCAGGGGCAGAGCTTTCCCTCAGGTCCCACCAACTCCCATGGAGGAGGAACACTTACTTTCATTTATCTTCTCCATTATTTCTCCCCCAGATAACACACACGAGTGAACCTAGTACCACGGCAAATCCAGTAAATGGCACATGAGGTCATTGTTTGGGATGTAGCTAGTTTGATCCGTTCACAGGGAGATATCAGACTCAGACAACATGAGAAAGATGACCCTTGGTGGTAGCAGCGGGGTCCCCCCCGTCAGAAAGTCAGCTGTTAGGTTTGTTGGAAGCCAGTGGATACAGCTGGGCCATGCCCACTGACCCACCGGGATGCCCTATCCCAGAAGCTTCCTGGAATACTGCTTGCCTGCCTCCTGCCCTGACCTTCTCGCTCCATAACTCATTGATCTACCTTCAAATCCTGGAAAACCCATTTTCCTGGAAAGATATATTCTTCCTATAATACCTCTTTTTGAACATTTACAGATGACCTCAGACCACCTCCTAGCCCTTCACATCTGTCCTCATGGTGATGTCCTGCCAACTCTTGCTTCATATACAGTTTTCTCAGTGGGTTGTTGACCCTTAGATTCTGCTAACTGATAACTTGGGTTTGATGAAAGCCTTATTTTCGTCCTTTTCCCTAGGGCCAGCGTCCGCTGGCCAGAGCTGGTGTCATCTGACCACAGCCTTATTTCGCTACAGGTTGGTCCTGAAGGCATGGCATCTCTAGAACCCTCAGTAGTGAACTTACTGAAGAGAAAGAAGGTCTCCCCTTCGCCCATGCTGTGGGTCAGGTGGGCCCTCAGCCCTCTGCCCTGACCTCAGAATCCCTTCTTTCCTGAGGACTCTGCTCCTGATCTCCCGGCCGGGACCACTCAGCTGCTGCCTGGGAGGGAACTGTTGGACCATAGACTGACCACCAGCTACTTCTGATCCACATTGGCCTGAATACAAAGCAGGATAAAAATCACCGCTGTCCCCGCACCAGCTGTTATACTCGCTGGGAGTTCATGGAGGAGCTCAATTGTCTCCATGTTTCCAAATAAAAACACTGGAAACCTCTTCAGGTCATTTCTCAATCAGATGCTTCTCCCTGGCTTCTGCGGGACACTGGCCACCCTCGTTCTTCCCTCTGTTTAGATCGCTGTGGATGGTGCTGGCCCAAAGAGCCTGCTCCATGCAGGTAAGAGGAGAAACCAAGGATGGCAGTCGTGCTTCTCTATGTCCAGCTGCCTCCGGGGGAGGGGAGGCAAGGAGGGCGCCCTGGAGGGAGAGGACGCCCTGCAAGAGCCTCCCCACCTGACTCCCGCGGCCGGTGATGTCGGGGCACTTGGGAGTGGCATTCGTGAGCGTGCTGGGATAGGCGTTCTCTGCGCCCTGTTTTCACATGGAGAATAAAACAAAATGAAATACTTTGTCCGCAGTGCAGTTTCCAGAATGGTTTCATTATTCTACGTGTTCTCTCTTACTAGGACCATGTGGGAAGGCCCTGGCTCTCTCCAGGCCTTATTTTCACACGGAGAACAAAACAAAACAAAACACTTTGTCCACAGCCTGCTTTCCAGAATGGTTTCATTATTCTAAATGTTCTCTGCACTGGAACCATGTGGGAAGGCCATTGCTCTTTTGCTGTCCTGTGGCATGTGTCCATGACGCCTCTCTCACTTTTGTGCCTGAAACGGGCATCCTTACTCCATCATAGGGCCTTTTCCTGAGGAGCCGAATGCCACTTCAGAATCTTCCACTTAGAGCCCTGGGCAGCCACCAACACCCAGTCACAACTAGCATACAGATTAACCTACTTGCCATTCTTAGCGTAAATCCCAGTGGGGAAAATATCCTTGGATTCTTTTTCTTTCGCCTTTGAAAGTGTCTTCCTTGATTTCTCTGTTCCCTCCCACTGCTCTTCAAAAAAAAATCAGTCTCCCAAAGGTTCTGTTGGCTGGTAAACTGCAGAATCACCACTTGGTGGCAGCAGAGGTCAACAGGACCATCCACAGTAGGTCAGCTTCCGGTGGCTTGTGAGCATGGTCCTCAGTGGTTAGGGCATCTGAACCCCATGACGCTTCTCTTCCTGTTTTCTGGATCTCGCCATTTCCCTTGTTGTGGTCCTTTTTCTTCTCTGTGGTGGAACGAACCTCAGACTAGGGAGAAATATACTTTAGGTCCCAGGTCCAGTCTGTCATTGGCTACCTTCCTTCATGATCCTGGCAAACTTTTGCCCGCTCTGGGCCTCAGTTATCTCATCTGTAAAGTGGGAGAATTAACAATGGGTCCCCGTTATTTACCTTCCAGGCCTTGAGTAAGAATCAAATGAAAACATAGTTTTGTAAAACAAAAACAAGTAGGAGAGACGGCAGGGAAGGGGAACGCTTGTGTGATTTTTCTGGTTTCCGGTTTTGACCTGCCTTCTTGCATGGGAATCTGGCTTGTTTGTAACACAGGGTGGCTGCAGCAGTGTTCTGTGCACCTCGTTTCTGCAGCTGAAACCGAGAGCTCCAGATGCCTGGCCTCTAGGCCTTTGGACTTCCAAATGGACATCCATTGCACACGTGTGGGGCAGGATGGCTACAGACACTGCTGTGGGTCTTCTCGTGCCTGGGGTTTCTGATAAATCTGTGATGTGCGCCCCCCCAGGGTGCTGACTTCCACTGCCCTTTGCTACCAGGCGCCCGTCAAAGGGGTTTCCAGGAAATGTTTGGTCCAGAAAGAGTCCAGCCCACGAGTTCCTGGGAGCTAGAACAAGCATCTGGAAAATTGCTGCTCCTCTTCTCTGGCTAAGAGTGGGAGGGGCCAGCCTGCTCTGGGGTCAGTCATGCCAGGACCCAACCCCCACTCCTGTGGCTCCTGCCTCCCAGCAGCGCAGACCAGGTAGGTCTCTCCCTCCACATCCATGTATTCTGAACACTCCCCTGCACTTACTTCCGTGTTGAATCCGGGACCTGCACTCACCGCATGCTTGGCTGGTGTCTGCTGAATGATTCCACCACACCCTTATGTGTACAACAAATAAATAGCTTTTTATGTTTTTTCTTAAGGTTTAGTTTTTTCCAGGCCTCCATTCTATCAAGAAATAATTTTGCCATTTTCACTGAAAACGCCGAAGCTCCCACGTTAAGGGCAGTTGTTCAGGATTTCCACCTTTTTGTCCCTCTCCTTGGGATGGTTTTAGATTTGGGGGACTTGGAGTATAGAGAGAGGCTCCTGGCTCTTGGGAGGTGCTCCACCTTATGCTGGTGCTCTTCGGGGCACGTCCTGGCCATGGCCTTCCCTCCACAGAGACTTCTGTGGAAGCCTCCTTATACTTCTCTGGTCCTGGCCCAAGGGTCCATGCATGCCTTATCTTTCAAAATGTTTTTATTTATTTCTAGGAGAGAGAGAGAGAGACAGCATGAGCAGGGGAGGGTCAGAGATAGAGGGAGTCACAGACTGAAACAGGCTCCAGGCTCTGAGCTGGCAGTCAGCACAGAGCCCGACGCGGGGCTCGAACCCACGAACCGCGAGATCATGACCTAAGCGAAAGTCGGACGCTTAACCGACTATGCCACCCGGGCGCCCCTGTGCATGCCTTATCTTTCAAACGTCTGGCCTTCCTCTGGCCTGTGGGAAAGTCTTGGCTTCTCCGTCAGAACTCAGGGGCCTATCGTAGACCCACCTTTGGGGCCTCTCTATGCCACACCGTGTGTTAGATGGCAGGAGGCATTCTCTTTTCAGACTGCTATCTCCTAGGACAAGTAATCCAGAAGCCCTCCATCCTCAGGTCCTCACCTGTCCCCAGAGTCCTGCCGCCAACATTCCATGGCTCTGCTGTGGGCACAGCACTCACCAGTGTCTGCTGTCATCCTCTGCTCTCCAGCGTCTGTCTCATACTTGCTTGTGATACAAATACTCCACAAATAGAAGAGAAAGGCAGCTCCTCCACCCGGCCCAGGGTATCCATGAAAAGTGCCCAGCCAGCGTCACACTCAGTGGCGAAGGCTGGATGCTTTCCCACTAAGATCAGGAAGAAGACAAGGATGTGTGCTCTTGCCACTTTTATTCAACATCGTATGGGGGTTGTAGCCAGGGCCTTTAAGCATGAAATGAAATAAAAGGCATCGAAATTGGAAAAGGTGGACTAAACCACCTTCTGTGCAGATGATATGGTTTTGAACCTAGAAACCCCAAGGAAGCCAATGAAGAAATATTGAAACCAATAAACATACAAGATCAATGACAGAAATCAACTGTACTTCCATGCCCTAACAATAAACATTTCAAAAATGAAATTAAGAAAACAATTCCAGTGACGATACTACTTGAAAGATGAACTATCTAGGCATATTTTAACAGAAGAAATGTAAGACTTACACACTGGAAACTACAAAGCCTTGTTAAAAAGATTTTAAAGATCTAGGTAAATGGAAAAGTATCCTATGTAATGGGCCAGAAGACTAAATATTGTTAAGTTATCAAGACTCCCTACATTGTTCTACAGATGTAAGTTAATGCTTTTTAAAATCCCAGCTGGATTTTTTGGGGGGCGAAAGCAAGTGCAGAAAGGTAATCCTAAAATTCATATGGAAATGCAAAGGACCCAGAATAGCTGAAATGATCTTGATAAAGAATAAAATTGGAAGACCCATACTTGTGATCAAGACAGTGTAGTGCTGGCATTAAGATAGATGTGAAGACCAATGGGATACAAGGGAGAATCCGGAAAGAAACCCTTAGATTTATGATCATTGATTTTTCCCAAGGGTGCCAAGACAATTCAATTGAATCATCTTTTCAACGAGTAGTACATCCACATACCAAAAAAAAAAAAAAAAAAAATGAAGTTGGACCCTTACTGCACACAATATGTGAAAATTAACTCAAGGTGGGTCACAGACCTGGATGTGAGAGTTTAAGCTATAAAACTCACAGAAGGAAATGCAGAAATAAATCTTTATGACCTTGTATTTGGCAAAGGTTTCTTAGAATACCAAATGCATAAGTGACAAAATCAAATATAGACAAATTGGACTATAATTAAGAGTTTGTTGCTACACATGGTACCATCAATAAAATGAAACAACACCCGAAAAACGGGAGACAATGTTTGCAAATCTTAATTCAGTTAAAGGACTTATTTCCAAAACATATAAACAACACTTATAACTTAACAATAAAAAGACAAGTAACCCAATATAAAAATGGGCCAAGTATTTGAATAGACATTTCTCTGAAGAAGATATATAAGTGGCCAGTGAGCATATGAAAAGATGTGTCAGTAGTTATTAGGGAAATATAAATCAAACTACAATGAGATATCACCTTATAGGTGATCCTTCAAGGATGGCTCTCCTTGAAAAGATAGAAAATAGCAAGTATTGACAAGAATGTGGAGAGATTGGAGCCCTGACACCCTGCTGGTAGAAATGTAAAATGGTGCGGCCACTTTGGAAAACAGTTTGGCAGTTCCTCAAAAAGTCGGAATTGCCGTAAATCCCAGCGATTCCACTCCAGGGTCCCCACGAGAAATGAAAGCACACGTCACCAAAGCCTTTACATGAATATTCATAGCAGCGTTACTTACAATGGCCAAAAAGTGGAATCAACCCAAATCTCTATCAACTAATGAATGGATAAATAAAATGCCACATCTCCACACAACAGTATATTATTTAGCAGTAAGGAAATGAAGTATGAATATATGCTACGACTTGAATGAAAACATCATACTAAGTGAAAGGTGCCAGTTACAGAAAAGCACGTATGATTCCATTTGTAAAAAAAATCCAGAAGAGGCAAATTTAGAGAGAAGAAAATAGATGATTAGTTGATTAGGCTAGATGAAGGGAGAATGGAGAATGGCTGCTAATGAGTGCAGGATTTCTTCTGGGGGTGAGGAAAGTGCTGGAATTAGACAGTGGTGATGGCCACACAGCCCTGTAACTACACTAAAAACCACTGAACTGTACACTTAAGTGAGTGAGTGATCTTTTGTTTCTGTTGAGGGCTCCCTTTTCAGAGGAAGAGAGGTCTTGGTCTGGAGTAGGGGAGAGGAGCAGGCTAGGAATGGAATGGCAGAGTTGAGCCTTCAAAGGGAGGGTGGGCAAATAAAGAGACAGATGGATGGGGACTGGTCAAGACCAGTAACCTCTGGGCTTAGCTTGGTCAGCATCAGTGTGCCCTGGACTAGAATATTCTGGAAACAACTCTGTCTGGGCTCAGCCAACCTGGACAAGCCACATGGCTCTGTGGAGAGCTTCCACACTCCCATTGGTTAGATGTAAATATGGCCCTAGAGTTCAGTGACCTGAGCGGGAACCTTGGCTTCACTTCTTTTGAGCAGCATGCCTTGGACAAGTTATACTAAGCTCTCTGGTCCTCAGTTTCTCCCTCTGTGCACCGGGAATAATTATATACAATAGTTATATATCTACCTCATGAAGTTCTTGCAAAGATCCAACTAGATATTCCACAAAACATGCTTAACCGAGCGCTTGTTATGCAGTGAACATTCAGTACATATTCATTCTTATCCTTTCTCCAAGGTGCTTTTTACATAAATCTCAACTCTCCTGACACAGGTAGGAGAGTAATTACTATGCGCCTCATCACAGGCCCTGAGAACTCAGGGTTGAGCTTGTCTGCAGGGGTGTATCCTGTGGGTCACATGACTTTTGCAAAACAGCTGAGGGAAACCACCAAGCTCCACTGGTGACTAATCTGTGAACCTGGGATGCAGCTCATCACTCTGCCCATCTTCTCTACAGGTTGTTTTGAAACCGTCTGCCACCACCAGCGTCTGTCTGTCCTTGCTGTGATCCCCGTGTGGGGTGAGCACTGTGGAGGTGACAGCTCTCAATGCTGTAGGCTGTGAACCACACCGTGGAACTTGTGTCCGAGGCCATTCAGAAAACACAGGTGGAGGAGATGAAAGAAGGCCCTGTGGCCAAGACCCATGGGGAGGCCACCCAGGGAGCTTATGGAAGCCTCTGCCCTTCCTGGAGATGCCCAGACTGGCTCCAGATAAGCCCGTGGGGAAGAGTGCCCCCTCCTGTCAGTGGGGCCAGAGCTAAGGAAGTATCACCGTTCAGAAATCCAAGATTTGTTGGGACTCCTTTGGATACCAAACCTGACTACTTTGTGTGACTGTTCCTGTGTGTTGTTTTGTTTGTTTGTTTTTCAGACTATTATGTGTTTAATTACACAATCCTGCCCCAGGTCCTATGCTGGGTGTTATGTCACATACAGTTCACGAGCTGTGGGTTCTCCTTCTAGAACACCAGTTTAAATTCTGAAAACGATCTGGTCCTCAGGTGTAGGGATAAGGGCGTGTGGTCCCATATTATTATGAGTCTGCTTGACCCTCTGACTGTAGTCAGAGAAGAGACACCTGCTGTACACAGAATAAGAACAGACCAGAGGGCAGAGAGCCCTGGGTTTGGGATGAGACAGTCAAGGCAGGGATCCTGTTCCAGTTCTCAGCAGCTATGGGACCCTGGGAATGTCTTTAACCATTTTGAGCCTCGATTTCCTTGCTTATGAAACGGAAATAATAATCCCTACCTCCTGTGGTTATTAGGGGATTAAATGAGATAATGCATGTTAGTACGTGCAGAGTGAGTGCTTAGTAAGTGATTACATGCTTAACATCAGTAGCTAATAATATATGTGTTACCTGGATCGACCCTTTTCCTCAGTGCCATGTCCATAGGAACCTGCATACCAGTGAGGGAGCTGGGCCAAACAGCCACACCTGGATGCTGTGCTCAGTGCCTCACATGGTAGCAGGAGCCCAGCTTTGGGAGCCCTGTGTGGGAAAGCAGGGGCACTGAGGATACTTAGTGCTCAGAGGTTCTTGGAGAAGAAATTATGTAGAAGATGCTAGAATATACTACTAAAAACAGTAATAGTGGTGGGGTGCTTGAGTGGCTCAGTCTGTTAAGGGTCTGACTCTTGGTTTCTGCTCAGGTCATGATCTCACGGTTCATGAGTTCGAGCCCTACATGGGACTCCGTGCTGTCATTGAGGAGCCTGCTTGGGATTATTATCTCTCTCCCCCTCTCACTGTCTGCCCCAATTCTTGTTCTCTCTCTCTCTCTCTCTCTCAAAATAAATAAATAAACTTAAAAAAAACACAGTAATAGTTGAACATGAAGTCTCATACCCACTCTTCCAGGAGATGCTCAGAAATCCTCCTTGGCAGAATCTGTGTCCCTGTCTTGCCCACCCACCCGCCACTGCTGCAATGCTGCTCACTTGTCTGGGGAAGCAGATGGGGCCATGGGCTGTGATGACTGTCTCTTTGTCTCAGGGTCTGTGTCCACTATAAAATGTTTACAGCCCTCAGCGCAGAGATAGGACAAAGGCTAAACCAGTGGCCTCCTTCTGAAAACCTCTTGCCTGCGAAAGTCTGACCTTTTGCCCTTTCATATACATGTCACTGTAAATAAATCACTGAGAAGCTTTTCTGTCTGTGCAAACTAAAATAATTATAATTGGATGCCCACAAACAGTTATAACGTGGACGCACCATTTCTGCACCCCAGAAGACGGCCGCAGGCTCCCCTGACCTTAGGCAGCCTCGCTAAGACTCCTGCATCTGCCCCAGGCAGGCAGGGCTTGGGTGCGGGTGCAGGACAGAATCTGTGCCGCCCCGTGGCCACAGCGTTTGCACAAGTCTGAGGCCCAGGGCTGCTTAGAGTATCAGAGAATCTCCCCATTGGCCAAGGGCTGTTTAAAGTGCAGGTCACGTCTCGTACTGCTTGACGTTGTAACTGATGAAAGGAAAGGCTGAGCAGGGCTCCTCGAGGAACGCTTGATGCTCTGAGCTTCCCATGTTACTGTGATCAAAAGTCCTCCAGGATGGGCTAGCTCAATGGGGGGGGGGGGGGGGAGGGGAACAATTCTAATGTTGACAGTATCTGGAAAAATAACTTCCCACAGTCGAGTCTTCCCAATCCTCTCACCCTTCAGGTAACGGGGGAGAGGGCGATTGTGATTGTCAGACCATCCCAATGCCAGACCCCCTGCCTCCACCCCGTGCATCACATACAGCTGGCAGGTGGCTCCCTCCCAGGTGGCTGGGTCATGTGAACCCCGAGCTTGGCGGCTGCCTGGAGCACCTTTCTGAGCACACGCAGCGTGTTCTGGGTACCATCTCTTCTCCAGGTGAGTGCTTTCCTGACCTACAGACCAGTTCATACTCTGCTTTGATGTCTCAAAGGGCTTTTGTTCTCTCAGCTAGTATCTTTGGAGTGACAGCTCTGGTAGAGGAGCAGTGCAGGCTCTGGGGAGGAAACCAGGATCCAACAGTGGGTTCTCAAAGCTCTCGCCTTCATCAAGCTGCCGTTTGAGTAGGGAGAGACGTCGAACGTGGTAAAGTCATAAATGAGAGGGCATCTTAGAAGGTAATAAGATGTAAGGAAGTAAGGAAGTAAGTTCCATCTTCTGCAGAACAGAAGATGGGATCTGGGGACTGGAGCAGGGGGCAGGTTGAATATTAAGGTAAGATGGAGAGTATAGTAGGGTCCTCCAGAGAAATAGAACCAACAGGCAGAGAGAGAGAGAGAGAGAGAGAGAGAATAAGACATTGGCTCCTGTGATTGAAGAGGCTGAGAAGGCCCAAGATCTGCTGTCGGCCATCTGGAGGCCCGCGAAAGCAGCTGGTCTGGTAATACAAGTCCAAAGTCCTGAGAGCCAGGAAGCAGATGTGCTGTAAGTCCCAGTCTGAGTGTAGAAGAATGTCCCAGCTTAAGCTGTTGGATAAAGAGCCGATTCTTCCTCTGCCTCTTGAGGTCCTCGGTGGGATTGAATGAAGCCCACCCACCCTGGGCAGAGTGTTTCAGTCTACCAACTCAAGATGCTCAGCTCATCCAGAAACACCCTCACAGACACACCCCAAAGCAATGTTTAGTCAAGTATCTGGGTGCCCTGTAGGCTGGTCAAGCCGACATGTAGAATTAGCCATCAGAGACAGCCACACGAAGTCAGGCCAACAACCTAGTTCAAGGATCCCTTGGGTGTCCCCCGCCAGTAGGCTCCATACTTCAGCTGGACACTCCCCCTGGCCTGTGGTGGGTTCCAGCTGAAGGTCTTCGGGAAATGAACAAGTGACTGTATTGACCCCGAGCTTTCTGTCCTCTATGTCAGAGGGTCTGCTCCATGGGTCTTCCCCTGGCTGAGCTGCAAGTACTTTCCTCTCTTCTGAGTGCACATGCCTTATCTCACTCCTTTCTCCCATTTCAGGGATGCAGGTGTTTTCTCAGGACCCCAAGCCCCCTGGCAGTTCCCAGGGAGCAGCATTCCCCCAGCGCTCACAGAAAGATGCCCCAGGTATGCCTTCAGCCTCGCTAAGAGCAACGGTCAGACCGTCCCCACATACCCTTCACAACTGTGCCTTCTCTGTCCCCAGGTACAACTAGTGGGACTTCCAGTCCATTTAGGGTAATGAGACTTATTGTTAGTACAGGAGACTTTGACCCATTCAGTCCCTTGATGGAGTTTGTAGGGTGTTTTTTAAAAATGTTTATTTATTTATTTTGAGAGAGGAGAGAGAGAACAAACAGGGGAGGGGCATGGGGAGGGAGACACAGAATCCGAAGCAGGCTCCAGGCTCCGAGCTGTTAGCACAGAGCCCGATGCAGGGCTCAAACTTGCAAAGTGCGAGATCATGACCTTTGCCACAGTCAGATGCCTAACCGACTGAGCCACCCAGATGCCCTTGTAGCTTTCTTTCTTCTGAGCAGCAAGAAGTGAATAAGCACCTAGAGACCAGATTGTGGTCTTTTTCTTCATATATATTTATTCCAAAATAAAGACATATAATTTAAAACAAATTATTACAACTGATCTTGATTCAGCATGGCTTTACTTGATATTTTTAACTGCCCCAACTCAAAGAGGAGAGGAGGCTTTTTAATTCAATAAATAACATAAATAACATTTCATCTTCATACTCTGACTTTCATCTTTTCTTTCTGGAAAGCTTCCTGGAGACTCTTCAGAAAGGTAAGCGTGTTGCCTGTTGTGGTTTGGTTACATGGCTGTTTACAGGAAAAAGACTGTGGGGAGAGAAGTTAACAGAGTGACTAAAAAGTATGGACCCAGAACCACCTTGCCTGCAGCCCTGTGAGAGCCAGGGGAGGGGTGCAGTGGGGTGGGGTGTGCAGGCAGCAGGGGCTTGAGACACAGAGCAAATGCATGGGGAGGTCCAGGGCTAGCCTGTTTTGTGGACAGTGGAGATGGCTGTCTGTGCTACCGTTTCAGGGTGCTCCCCCTCCCCTCTATTTAGGACTATCAGATAGTCCTAAATCTCCTCATTAGAGGAAACCTTTTCTCACGAGTCTTTGAATCCTAACGTTTTATTACCCTTTTTTGGCTGTCCTTCCAAGGTCACAGACTAGCACCATGGCTGAGAATGGGACTTCGGCCTCAGATAGACCAGATTTCAATCTCAACCCTGCCACTTATGAAGCATCTATCCTTAGGCAAGTTGGTTAACCTCAGGGAGCATCTGCTTCCTCCACTAATAAAGTGAGGGTGGTAAATGATAATCGCAACAATTGGTATTGAAATGCTATTGTAATGAAACAGTATATATTAAGCATTTAGAACTACCAGCTGTTGATGGTAAGTAACTCAGTTGAGTAGCTGAGTGAAGGCTCTTAGCCTTCTGAGGAGACACATGGAGATGCTAATTCCCCAAGAGTTCACTTCCTCCGTCCCTCTAGGGACCAGAGCATATGCAGAAGAAGAGAAGATGGGCACTTAAGGCCAACGGCAAGCTTTCATCTGGATCTGAGTTCTTGCTCCTTTAAATCCCTTAATCCCTTCTTGGCCAATTCAAAAAAAAAAAAAAAATCTTTGTACAGGCCGCAATAGCCACTCGGTTAACTTTGACAGCTCTGATTCTCTAGATTTCAGCTTCTTATTACAATCAGGACAGATTCCTTCATTATTCAATAGGTGGAAAGAAGTAAATGGCAACATAGGTGTGAGTATTTTTTAAAACCAAGGGGAATTAAAGGGCCCTCCGGAGCAGATCTCCCTTTCATTTTGTCCTTCTGAGTAAATTTCCCACAGGTCTCATATTGGCCTTGAACTACCAATTCCAACTTTATCGTCCCTTTTCATTTGGATAGAGCTGTCATTGACCTTCACGTAAAAAGAACTAACCAGAGGGGAAAACAGGGAAAAGCAAATTCACCTGGCACTTGTTTCTCTTTAAGTCTTCCACAGTTCTTCTTAGTCGGTGGAAAATCAGGGAGAACTTGGTTTGCACCGTGGAGTTGATTATCTGGGACAGCCCTTCCTGGAAGCATGGTGTGGTGCAGTTGTCCTGGTAAGTGAAAAGAATTTATTAAAAGAAATGCCTTGAGGACCACTTTGAGAAGAATTACAAAGAGAATGCTTTCATGAGCTATCTTAATTTAACCAATATAACCTAAACTGGTATTATTTTTAGACAGGTCCCTCTTCCCATCTAAGGAAGGACCTTCAGCATTTCAAGTCGAGGCCATTTTTTCCAGGATCACTCCCTGGAGATTTCCAGTATGTTCCATCCAAGGAATACAAAGCTAATGGACCCCAGAAAACAGCTCGTTGCAGTCTCCATCACAGCCAATGTTCCTCCTCTCCGTTCCTCGGAATAGTAAGCTCCAAAGTAGAGAGAAAGGAAAAGGCTTCTCACACCAGTCTGATGGCACGAGCCAGTTGAATAGATCCAGTGTTTCAGCAGGAGCTAAAATCATGGACCACACACTGAAGGGCGGGGCTAGGCTCTGCATGTGTGGTTCCTCCTCAGAACGTGCCTACACCAGTCTTATGTAATGGATGCACCCTGATGGGGTGTCATATCTGACCCTAGCGAGGATGACAAGTTCAGATTCACCTTCCTCCTCACTGAACCAGAAAATCCCTGCCTCACTTCCTCTTTGTTTGGAAGTTCTTTTCGCTTTCCCTCTACCTTAGACACCCTGTCCTAACAGCATTCAAGCCATGAGAGAGCCGCCCGAAGTCAGCTAAAAAGACAGACGGGAAGGGAGGAGTGAGGGAAAAGGTATAGCACCCAGAGAGGTTTTGCAATAGGAAAGAAAAAGAGTTATTTTACTTACTTGTTTTGCAACCCTTGAGTTTTAGGAAATAAATTAGGAAGCAGTATGATATAAGCTATATTGTTTGCTGCATGCTCAGCTCCAGTTTGATTTAATTGTGCACATGGCCGTTAATGTAACAAGACATACAAATTTCTTTTTAAAGCACTGAATAGTGATCAAATTTCTCAAAGGGCATAAAGCCGACTAAATACAAAGTGATGTAGAATTTCAAGAGCCGGGCCTCAAAAGGAAATCCTGAGCTGTTAACTAGTGCGGTTAAGTAACCTTTTCTTACTTAAACGATCCAATAGAGCAATTTATTTTTACGTGAAAACTTTTAAAAATGACACCGTCAAGATGACATTGTTTTACTGTACTTACAGAAGGAACGGGCAGACACAAACAATCGGTCACCTGCAAAAGAATAATTCCAGAGTGAAGATTCCAGAGGCAAACATTCAAGTAAGTTTGGAAAGTTCTTAAAAGAGCATTTACTCACATTGGTGCCACAGCTGCATTTTGAAGGTGGATCTTCCTAAAGTAAAGAGAGAAATAAAAACCCATAATGGGAGGGGTGCTTTTCATCCTTTTGTTTCACCTACATGTTTTTGTTTGTTTTTAAGTGAGTTTTTAAGTGAGAGAGAGAGAGGCAGAGAGAGAGGGAGAATCTTAGGCAGGCTCCACACCCAGCACAGAGCCTGATGCAGGGCTCGATCCTACAACCCTGGGATTGTAACCTGAGCTGCCATCAAGAGTAGGACACACAACTGACTGAGCCACCAAGGGGCCCCCCACTTAAACTTTCAAGAGCTCCCTTTCCCGCTGGCGCCCCCTCTGCAGCTTACCTGCAGTTTGTTAATGAGGTCTGTTACATCACGTATCCCCAGGAAGGTGGAACACCTCTGGCTGGCCACAGAGCAGAGCAGCAGGGCAGAGGCGAGAACCACGGGCAGAAGCATCTTGACTTGGAGCTGCAGGTGGCTTGTAGATGCCTCGAAATCGAGTCGTATTTAAAGCTCCCTTGCAAACCTGGGAAAACCCTGACATCAAACTGATACCAGATGCCCACTTTTTCTATGTAAGTTTGGGTCACTTGACATTGAAAAAATATATACATACATCGAACTGAGTCACCTGGCAAAGACTATGTTACATTGTGCTAGGAAATGTCATTCCCCAGAAAGGATGCTTTTCAAAGTTTGGGTACTGAGATGCCGTAGGAAAAGTTAAAGATCTTAAAACCATAATTTTTTTTTTTAAGGCAGATATTCTAGTTGTGAGAATTAGCACATTTTCCATGAAAGCCCAGGTCTATATTTTCCCCTTTTTAGTTATTTGGAAATGCTGATATAATAGCCTGTCACAGGTATTATAATGAAGGGGCCAGGGAGGGGGCGGGAGAGTGAGAGATCTTGCAAGCAAGCTGCTCTGTCAGGGTTTCTGCAAGCTCCAGCTCGATGATGTCATTGCAACTTTCATCTGACTGTATTTTATTCTCAAATCATGCCTGTGGCCAGAGTCTTCACCTAATACAAATGCATTTTTGTGCAAGTATCTCTTGAAACAGGTGTCTGAAGGAGGGAACTCTTCAACTGTACCAGCAAGAATGTAGCAACCGTGTCTGTGAAAATGGATCTTGAGGATTCCTTAGTGTCTTTAGGGAACTTAGGTAGCCCCGCACAGCTGTCAAGTCAAAGCTCAGTGCTTAAAATAGGATAAAAGCTCGCATTTATTGAGGGCTTACTGCATACCGACCACAGTTTTAGGCACAATATGGGAATTAAGCCATGTAGTACATACCGCCACCAAATGAGGTAGATACTAACTTGCCATCCCCATTTGTTTTATGTCTTAGATTAGAACACTGTCTGTACATTAGCTTCCCAGAGCTTTGACAAGGCTGTTCTTACCACTGTGAGCCAAAAAGTTGTCTAACTGCAGCCCTATGAGACATGTATTATGATTATCCCCATTATTTTATAGATGGGGAAACCAAGGCACAGAGATGCAAGTAATTTGCCCAAAGCCACACAGGCAGGAAACAACAACAAAAATTGTGCTCAAGTCCACAAGTCTGGCTCCCAGGTTCAGCTCACCATCCTGCCCTCCTTCCTCTCTATGTGTTTTGTCTGCCTTTCCCACGGGGATATATGCCCGGTATGGGTCTGGTTCACCCTTATATCCTCAGCGCTTGGGAAAGCACTTGAGGAGCAGTGAGCCATCATTAAATGCCTGTTGAATCGAACTATGAATGTGAAAGGCAGTTTTTGAAATAGTAAGACAAGGTATACCACGATAGATCGATCGTTTAAGGTTTCAAATGTAGTTTCTAGGGCGTGTAAGTGGAGGTGTATGAGCTTCAGAAAATTTAACTTCTACACACTAGAGACTGAAGAAAGGGGGATTCTTTGGCTTTGTCCTTTGGGCCATACTAGCAAGGGGGACACTCATCAGATTCTATCACCATCGCTGGGAGAGTGTGTGGCAATATTGCTTTTTTCCTTAGGAGAGGTGATGGACTAGGCAGAAGGGGGTGTCTTGATAACAAACAAGGTAAAAAAAAAAAAAGTGGCTTTTTGCTAGCTTCCCCAAATCCCTCTGCAGCTGTGACCTCTGTGCCTGTCCTGTGCATGCATGCACCAAGGAGACTTTTCAAAGGCCTGCCAGCCCGTGCCACGTGTTTTATTTTATTTTATTGCTACCAGACTCTGGATGCCCTTTTCTTGCGGATAGAAGCTTGATTAGTTTGGGATGGCCATGTACTCAGCCAAGCACCCACTTTTTCGGTCTCTCTGCTGCGCAGCTGCAGGTGGCCATGTGACATGTTCTAATCATTGTGGAGTCTGTAGAATTTATTTGCTTTTCTGCTAACAGGAGACAAAAGTAGCTGAAGCCCATCCTTATCACCTCATTGTGATTTGGGCATGAAGGTGATGGCAAGAGCTTCAGAAGCGACCTCATAACCATGCAGGGATGGACATGAGAATGGCAGCAATGACAAGTTTTCCTTAAATGGAAAAAATCCTAAAAAAAATAAATAAATAAAATCATGAAAGCAACGATAGAAAGGAACAGTAAGAATTCAAAAGTGGTACTAAGTTCCAGCCAGATATCACTGCCTTCTGGAGACCCTGCATCCTGAAGCTCAGGAAAAATGGAAATTAGCACGCGCTGGAGAAATGTCCAAGATGGGCCAGCATTAGACAGACACTTTTTCCCTAAAATCATTGGGAGACTTAAAAGAGACTTGAAAAGGCAATCATCTCCTCATTATGTAGATCAATATTATTTAGTGCCGTGCATGTGAGGCGTGCCATCATTTCATGTGCCATTAGGTGTGCCTTTCACTATGCTTCCCCTCTTGCTGTGCAGATGGAGGCTGTGCCTGGGAAGAAAATCAGGCATGTCCAAAGCCATGTGTGCAGTTACCAGTGGGGGACAGGATAGCATAGTGGTCAAGACCAGTGACCCTGCAATCAGACCACAAGGGTTCAAATCTTACTTCTATCACTTGCTGGCCATATGGACTTGGGCAAGTTGCTTGGCCTTTTATCCCTCTATTTCCGGACTATAGAACAAGGATGTAGATGTGGAAAAATGGGGATGGGGATGGGATTGGGTTGTAACGTAAGCCCTACCTCAGAAGATTCTTGTAAAGATGGAAAGAAATGTTTACTCCGTACTTAATTTGATGTTTGACAGGGCAGTGTCATCTGGTGTAGACATCAGCAAACTCTAATCTTCTTGGCCAGATCCAGTGTAAGGCCTACAAACCACGAATTGTTTTTCATCTTTTTGAAGGGTTGACTGAAAAATACTTAACAAAGAAAAGCCTCGAATATTTGCCATCTGATCCTTTACAGAATAAAGGCCTGACCCACTGTACTTTGCACACCACATTCCTCATTTTCAGTAGATGTTGCGACCTTCCCCTCCTGGGAAATATCTAGCTAGGAGTTGGTGGTTTGAGTGTTTCCTTTCCCTTTGTCCTTCTGGTTATTCAGCTCAGGCTTCTGTACAGAGGGGATGGGAGGGGAGGCCCTGGAATCATCAGCTGCCAGATTCTCTCAAGTGCTGGAGGCCTATCATCTTCTGCAGCTGTCTGTAGAGTGAGCTTACTGGACCCATGAGCCACAGGCATTCTCTTGGTGCAACCAGGTACCCACCATCAAAGGCATCTCAGATGGGCCCCGGTTTATTAGAAGAGCCCTCCATACTGAAGTCAGGAGAAAAGGGGGTGAACTATCACTCCTTTCTCTCTGGGCCAAATTCTGGCCCAACGAGCTGGCCTTGGGCCACCCACCCTCCTCTGGCGCTGCAGTAGTGTTGCAGGGAAATGTCATCAGTGGACACCGGTGCTCCTTGGGCAGGTTTTCTAGCCTCTCCAAGCATTGATGTACCACCAACACCCACCTACACAGGAATCTGGGGCAGGATACTCAGCTCTACCTCATAGAAAGATAGTGGTATTCAACTTGGGATGCTTCCTCAAGAGTGAACCATGGTTCCATGTGGAGATGTGATCTGGTCGAGTCCAGACAATGCTCATATTCTGCTTTCTTTCTTACCTCCCATGCTGTGATCACATTGGTTGCATTCTATTTCCAAGCCTCCAGCCCTTTGTTCTTGCTAAGCTCTGCCTAGAATATTCTTCCTCAGCTCTTCCATGTATGGTCTGTTCTCATCTTCAGGCTTCAACTCAAATGCCACTTCCTCCATGAGGTCCTCCCTGACCACGGCTGTCATTGCAATCTGCATGATGCTGTCTTGTGTCTCTTCCTCCAAGTGGGATTGAGTTCTGGGAGAACTGATATGATGCCAGACTCCGGTTCATTATTCTATTCCCAGGGCACAGTCCTTACTAAGCTCTCAGGAATTGCTGGCTAAGTGAATGAATGAGGAATCACTGTACTTTTCTTAAAATGTATTCAATTTCTGTGGTTTAGGAGATGATCAAGGCATGTTCCCAGTGGATCAGAAATGAAGAACAGATAGAGTGTTTACACAACCTAAGCAAGGAAAGCATTTGAAGAGTAAGCAATGAACAAAATACAGCCTCCTGCAAAGCAGTCCCTTCAGAACTTTGAAGGGTTCTTCAAGCTCTTCTCCCTTTCAGTTCTCATAGTAACTGCATGAAGAAGGCATGTGAGGTGTAGGAACTCCGAGTCTGTACAGGCTGAGACAGAGAGAGAGAAAGAGAGAGAGACAGGTAGGTGACTGTTCTTTGCAATTGTTTTTTGCAATTCTTTTTTTATCTTCCCAGCCACTGCAGTTATAAAAGTGAAAAGAATTAAGACTATTTAAATGGCAGCTCTGTGTTTTAAAACACCATTAAAACAGCAGATGTTTATCTAGGCATGTCTATAGCTTTTGAGGTTTAGCTTCTAGGATTTATTGTGATACCAGAATGTGAATATGCAAATGATGTCCTGCAGAGAAAATGCACCGAGCTGAGAAATGAACTACTCACCTGTTTTAAATATCAAGAAGATTGGAGAGTGGGATGCTTACCCAGATTTAGTGTGGATAACATACTTTACAATAAATGACAAAAGACAGTACTCAATCATTTGTTTCAAAGATAAACTTTGACGTTTTTATTCTGTGATTAAACACTCATGTGTCAGGGATTATTTCTCTAATAAAACAAAATGGTTATTTGTTCTAGGAAGCCACAGCATGAGATGACACACACACACACAAAGACACTACATTTCTAAGTAAAACCCATTCTGCCTTTTCCTCTAAATAGCCAAGAGATAACGTTATAAGAATCCTCAAGCACTAATTTCTTAATCACATAGTTCTTTCCAAGTCATTATTTCCCAACAAACCGTGAGGGGCAAGCCCCACTGGGCGCACTGTTATCCCTACGGGGGCTGCTCCCCCAGGGAAGTAGATTTCTAGGTGGGTGCTCTTCACCTCTCCCCTCGCACTGCTCCTAAGCAAATTCTGGGTC